CCCTTGCTGCATGTCCCCTCGCTGCCCCTCCTGCTGCCTGTTGCCTCCATGACCTCCCTCTTGCGACGCGCAAAGACATACTAGTACCAAATGTCCTCCTTGGAGGCGCGCAACCGACCTGGTGCGCGCGTCGCCCCTGGGGGGCGACGCACACATGGTATCAGTAGTATGTTGGGGTGACGCCGATCCTTCTGGCAGAAGCCCAGAAAACAGCGAAAGACCCCCAAACTCATGTCTCGGTGAATTCAACCTTCTGGCGACTTCTCTCTGGGGGAACCAGAAGGTACCAAATACCGCTGCGCCTCAGACCTCTCCCGGGGTGCGCTCTGACCAGGATTTCGAGGCGAATCCGGCCATGGCGACGAGGGCCTCCCAGGAGGCCCCCCCAAAAAGGGAACAACGCGGCGAGGGCAGCAGTATCGGTACCGTTTCCTCCTCTGCAAGGGCTCCTAAGTTCGCGCTTCGCGCTGCGCGAAGCGCGAAGCGCGAATAACTTCGCGCTCTCGCGCCGCCCTCCCAAAGGGAGAATAGGAGGACGAGGAGGAGGGGGAGAAGGAACGAGGACCGCGAAGCGCGAATAACTTCGCGCCCTCGGGGGAGCCCTTGAGTATCGGTACCGTTGCCTCCTCTGAGCCTCGGTGAATCAAGACTTCCGGCGGCCCCCCGCCGACGCCTGCGAACAAGAGTCCCGGCGCGGCGTCTCCGCGACGTTAGGGGCCAGCCGGGAAGCGAGAAAACTACCGTCCAGGGCGTGGTGTGCTCGGACCGACACAGACAAGCGAGCTAGCAGAGGAAGCTGCCGTCCGAAGCGCTGTGTGCTCGGCGCACGAAACCAAAACAGCCAGCCTTTCCCCTCCTGTGGCCCCCCCAGCCCTGTCCCATGCCCTCGCCTCCCCTCGCATCACCGCTCCTTTCCTCTCCTAGTAAGGAACAAAACTTTATACACCGATTTTTTATCCGGTCCTGCACTGAGATTCGCACAAGGAAACGGATTATGGTGTATACGGCATCCTGGTGTATACATTTTTGTTGCTTCCACGGGAAAACGGGGAAACAAGTATACACCACACCACCCCGACGTCGTCCCCGACCCTCCAAACTTCCTGGGATTGAACAACAGCCCGCCACTGGTAAGGTATGTGCTCCAGTTTCCGACCTAGCCGTCCCTCTTCTCTCCTGCTTGGCATCAGAAAAGGGGGTTTACGAGAAACGGGCCCTGGATCCTGCGGCGCTCCCTCGAATCTGTTTTTAGCGTGAAACGCTCTGGCTTCCCCACGGCCCTCAGGAGCCCCCTGGAGGCCTCTGGACCGACTTCCCTCGGGACCCCGTCTCCTCGCAATGACACCCCCCCTCGCCTCTCGCGCGCTAACTTTACATCGCCTGCCTCGCTCGCTCCTTTCCCGACGTGTCTCTTGTCTCTTCCCGTCCCACACCCCTTTGTCCACACCTATCCCCGATGCAAAATATCCGGCGTCGTCACTTTTGTCTCGATCCGTGTGCCCCTGGAGCTCCCGCACCCCTCCCCGCTTAGATGACCTTGCCGCCCGCCGCATGGAAAGAAGCGGTTCTAACACAGCAAGTGGCAAGTGGGCCGATATCCAACGGCATGTAGGTGGTAGACTTGTGTTTCAGACCAGAGCGCAGCAATTGCAAAGGGGCCCATCATGGCATCATGCATTGGCAAATCTGGTGCACCTCTGGCACACTTCTGGCAGCAAACAACAGATCCATGGAACTGGATGGTCGCGGTGGGGACGGGCTAGCTCGTCGCGTATCAGGGCTGCCGTCTTTGCCGTGCGCAAATCGTCATCTCGGATGCTCAAACATGTTCGGATACTGGTAGGCGAGCTGCACTTCCGATGGGATATGGCAGTCTGGCGTTGTACCGGAGCAGTGTGCGCGCGCACACTTGGATATCGGGGGGCGTGGAGGTTTCTTGAAGCCGCCCGCGCTGGGAAAGCGTAGATCTTGGTCGTGCAAAGAGTGCAACGTGGATCTCGTGGCAAGGGGATGAAACTGATGGTTTTGGCAAGCGTTCAAAATCAATTCGCCCGAAATTCGCCTGGGAAATTCTGATACAGCTCCAAAAACTTGTCAAACAGCAGCGCCGATTCCGACCCCCGGCGCCTCGCCCTCGCGGCGCCTGTTCCCGGGGGCCCAAAACGCGCGCCACATTGTGGGTCCGCGCTTGCACTGCGGCGGAACAGCTGGCCGACTTGGCGACACACTCGCGTTCGGCGTCGCTGCCCTCTTCAGCGGGCAGCCGAAACGGGCGCGAGGGTGTCGCCAAATCGGGGTCGGGGGGCCCCAGGAACGGGCACCACCAGGGCGAGGCGGCGGAGAAGTCATAATCGGCGATAGTGTTCCCAACCCTCCTGCAGTGTTGAGTACTCGATTTGAAAAGACAGGTCCCCGCGTTCCCCTCTCTCCTCCTCCTCCTCCTCCTCCTCCTCCTCCTCCTCCTCCTCCTCCTCCTCCTCCTCCTGCTCCTCCTCTTCCCTCCTCCTCCTCCTCCTCCTCCTCTTCCCTCCTCCCATCCCTGCCTCGGCCCTCCGCATGTCAACCATATTGGCACACCCCTCGAACGCTTCGTGGCCCCATAAGGAGCTCCACCGAAGGCCCCAGTGGCAAAGCTCGCATGCGGTTCCACCCACGTTTTGGCACACCGCTCACACGCTTCGTGGCCCCATAGGGAGCTCCACCGAAAACCCCAGTGGCAAAATTCGCATGCGGTTCCACCCCAATTTTGGCACACCCCTCGAACGCTTCGTGGCACCATAGGGAGCTCCACCAAGCCCCAATAGCAAGCAAAGTTTGCATGCGGTTCCAACCCCATTTCGGCACACCCCTCACACGTTGCGTGGCCCCAAAAGGAGCTCCGCCGAAGGCCTCAGTGGCAAAATTGGCATGCGGTTCCACCCCCATTTGGGCACACCGCTCACTTTGTGGCACCATAGGGAGCTCCACCAAACCCCAATGGCAAGCAAAATTCGCATGCGGTTCCACCCCAATTTTGGCACACCCTCACACGCTTCGTAGCTCCATAGGGAGCTCCACCGAAGCCAACAGTGACAAAGTTCGCATGCGGTTCCACCCCCATTTCGGCACACCCATCACACATTTCGTGGCCCCATGGGGAGCTCCGCCGAAGGCCTCAGTGGCAAAATTCGCATGCTGTTCCGCTCCCATTTTGGCACCCCCCTGACACGCTTCGTGGCACCATAGGGAGCTCCACCGAAGGCCCAAGTGGCAAAGTTCGTATGCGGTTCCACCACCATTTTGGCAGACCCCTCACACGGCCCCATAGGGAGCTCCGCCGAAGGCCCGCACTGAAGACGGTACTCACAACTGCAGCACCCACAACTGTGTGTGGTTGGGTCCGTCGCCACGCTAATATTTTAACCCCTTCCGAAGATTATCTGGGCATCCCTGCCTGATGTTTGGTGAACGTCTTTGTGGCCCTTGGACCAACATGTTCGTTTAGACGTTCGAATCAACCCCTCTCCCACCTCGTCGTCGCCCCCCTCCTCTCCGCCCCGGGCCTTGCCCAAAACCGAATAGCAGCCTGGCCCTCGGCCACATCGCATCTCTCAATATCTGTCATGTTCCCTGTCGTGTTGCCCTATTTCCCACACGACATGGCACCTCCTGGGCGCCGCCAAAACTTCCTGAAGGATTCCGCGAAGTTCCCCGCAAGACTTATGAGGATTCCCGTGCCCCCCGGGGGGGTCCCAAGGATTCGCGCGGATGCCAGAAATGATTTCTTGGGATTCCTAAAACACGATTCATGTAGAATTTCTGGAACTTCCGGGTCAATCCCAGACGACTCCTGGGTATCTTTCAGGACCCGTAAGAATTGCTGACGATTCCTGATGGAGCCCTGAAGCATCGGGGGTGTCCCGCAGTAATTCCTGACGGTTCCAGATGGACCCCTGAAGGGCTCCTGACGGATTTCAAACAGAAAATCTTCGAATTCTGGAGGACTCCTGAAAGGAAGGTTCCTGGGGATTCGCGCCAGTCCCTCTGTATTCCTGTTTTTTTTTTTGGATCCCAAATTGCTGCCTGAAGTACCCTGTCGGTTTCCCGAAGGGTTCCTGGGGCTTGCCTGTCGAAGCCACAACTATCCCTGAAGGGCTCCTGCTATATGCTTATAATGTCAGATGCTTCCTGAGGCTATTGACGGGTTCCTATTGGATTGTCGTGGACTCCTCGAAGGTTTCTGAGGGCTCCCCCTGGATGCTGGCGATTCCTACAAACTCTTTCCGGAGGATCCTGCACGATTCCTGATGGATCCCAAGAGGTTTCCGAAGGACCCCTGGAACGTCCAGAGGATGCCTGATGATACCGAAAGGCGCATCCGGATTTTAGAAAGGATGCCAGAGTTTTCCAGCATCTGTCTGAGGACTCCTGGAGATCCCGCAAAGATTCCTGAGGATTCCCAGATGCGACCCGGAATCCCTGCGCAATTCCTGAACGATTCATTCGGTTTCCTCAGGTGTCCTCCAGACTCTTCGGGATTCCTGGAGCATTCGCGTCAGTTCCTGTGGTTTCCTGGTGGATGCGGGCAACTTCCTGAAACAATACCAAGCGGATTTTGACCAGATGAATGTAGGACTCCTGCAAGTTCATGGTGGAACCCTGGCGTGTCCTCAAGGTTTCGGAATTGTTTTGGGATAGCGTTTGAGGATCCCACATGGATTGCTGAACTCTCCCGAAGGTTCCTGATGGTTCCTGGATGATTCTTGAACGATTCCAGCGGTTCCCTGAAGGTTCCTTACGGTTTCCCCAGACCTGGTTCCTGACATGTCCTCAAGACCCCTCGCAAAGATCCCTGGAGGACTCCAGGAGGATTCTTGAGTTCCCGCGAAATTCTTCAGCTTCCGGAGGATCCAAGAGGATTCTCTTGGAATCCTGATCCTCAAGATTCCTGCCAGGATCCAACAGGATTCCTGAGCACGCAAGGAGAATTCTTGAACTCTTGAAGAGTTCGCGGGACTCCTGAAGATTCCTGAAATATCCTGATGGGTTTTTTTTTTCCGAACTCATGGGGACGGGTTCTTGAGAACTCCTGAGGATGCCTGAATGGCCCAACAGACTCTTTGGGATAATTAGAAATACCCTCCAGGGCTTGAAAGAAGGATCGGGATTCCTGAAGGATTCCAAAACACTTCTCCGGCTTCTTTCCGAGGGATTGAGATTCCCCTGGTGATTCCCCGAGTGACTCCAAGAGATTCCCAAAAAACAATGCGATTCCTTCAGATTCCCAGAAAGGGATAAGACACCTGCAGTTCCTTCAGCATTCGGCTGATGCTTCCTTGAGATCCCCGAAGACTCCACATAAAGGGTCCTTGGGAATTCTTGTAGATTCCTGTCAAGTTCGCGAGGGGCCCTGAAGATTTTCTGCGGACTCGTCAGGGACCCCGCAGGTTCCTCACAGATCCTGGGGATTCCACTGGGCACCAAAACGAAGTATGACGGATTCCTGCGATGCCGTGAGACTGTGGGGAAATCCCGTTGGCATTTCGGGTCTCTCACGATTCCTACAAAGGGTCCTGGCGGATCCCTGCATATCCCCAACGATTTGGCAAAGACTCCTGAAGGATTCCTCTGGATCCCCGTGGATGCCTCGAGGATTCCTTTGGGGCCTCAACGATTTCTAGAGACCCCAGAGGATTCGGGAGGATTCGACGATTCCTTGGGATTCATGCGGGCTCCTGTCGGCCCCTGCGGAGCCCTGAAGGTCCCTGCGGGCTCATGGACGGGGATCCCTCAGGATTGCCAGTGGTTTCCGCAGGAACAAATGTGATTTGGGTTTCTTCGCCTCCCAGACGTCTAGAAAACCTTTGGGAGCCGTCTCGGGGGCCGCCTCAGCAATCTGAAGGCCGTGTTGGAGCGCCTTGAACGCGCGTGGGCCCTCTAGGAAAACGTGACCCCCCGCGCGGTGGGGCAGTGGAGCGGTTGGGATTCCAACGGCGCGCGCTGACAAACGAGTGGGTTCCCCTGAGAGGCCTCCTCGGAATCTGCACTGCCAGGATGATATCTCCTCGCCGCTGTTGCTCCTACACGTCGGGACCTTGCCCGTTGCCGCTTCCGTGGTCTCTTCCTCCTGTTTGTGCCTCACCCACCTCGCTGGGGCCTGACCCCGTCGCGGTCCGGGGCGGCCGAGGGCTGGAGGGCCGCGGCTCGAGGCGCGCGGACCCGGCCCAAGGACCAGGCCCAGGCGCTTCAAGCCAGCTTGCATTGCGCGCAGGGCCCGCGCCCCAGGCCCAGCGCCCAAATCCCCAGGCAGCGCCGAGCCCGGCGCCCAAAGCCCCAAGCCCCTGCCTGGCCCTGGCACTTCCAACCGACCCGAAACCTTCTTCCCTGGCCAGAAGAAACGACGGCGAGAGGGCCAGCGGCCAAAGCCCCCTTCCCTCGGCCGTCAGCCTGGGGCCCTCAGTCCAGGAGAACCTCAGCTATTGGGCCTGGCCCCAGGGATTCAGGCCCCTGGCCCTGCGCCTGGACGCGCCTCAGAAGCCGAGCCCGAAGCCCCGAGGTCAAAGCCCTCGGCCTCGCCACGTGGCCGTGAGCTTCAGAAGCCGAGCCCTGAGCCCCGCGCGCCGGCCCCCGCGCGCCCGCGTCTGCAGCGACGAGCCTCGGAACCGCAGCCGCCTGGCCGAAAGCCTTGGGCAGGCAGCCCGGGGCCCCCGGGGCCAGGGCTCGAGGCCGAGGGCCGAAGAAGGTCTGGCGGAGGAGGAGGAGGAGGAGGAGGAGGAGAAGGAGGAGGGAAGGAGGAGGAGGAGGAGGAGGAGGACGAGAGGGAGGAGGAGGAGGGAGGAGGAGGAGAGGAGGAGGAGGAGGAGGAGGAGGAGGAGGAGAGGAGAAGGAGGAGGAGGAGGAGGAGGAGGAGGAGGGAGGGAGGAGGAGGAGGAGGCGGGGGGCGGGCGGGCGGGCGGGAGGGAGGAGGGGGGAGGGAGGGAGGGAGGGAGGGAGGGAGGAGGAGGAGGAGGGCGGAGGAGGAGGAGGAGGAGGAGGAGGAGGAGGAGGAGGAGGAGGAGGAGGCGCCCCAGGCAGAGGGCCCCCGGGGCTGGGGCCTCGCGACGCGGGGCTCGGACCACGGCCTCTCGGGCCTCGCGGGCGGGGCGGCGGGGGCCTCGGGCCTCGGATTCCCCCCGCCGGCGGAGGGCGCGCGGCCCGTGCCCGCTGGCGCCCCAGAGAGCTTTGGCGTTCGGAGCTTGTCACGCCACCGTGGGCTCTCGGGAACCTTTCCTCCTCCTCCTCCTCCTCTCCTCCTTCCTCTCCTCCTCCTTCCTCCTCCCTCCCTCTCTCTTCTCCTCCTCCTACTCCTCCTCCTCCTCCTCCTCCTCCTGCTCCTCCTCCTCCTCCTCCTCCTCCTCCTCCTCCTTGGTGTTCAGAACTTTTTTACGTCGCCGTTCGCTCTGGGGGGGCCTTGGCGCAAAGAGCTCTTTCACGGTACCGGCCGCTCTCGGGAGCCTTGGCGTGACGAGCTGTGTACGCGACCGCTCGCTCTTGGGAGCCTCGGCAAGCTCATTTTCTTCTCGAGGGATGGATGTCTGGATAGGGCACACGGGGCGTCTAAGGCACGTTCTTGTCGTGACAACCCCGGCGTTGGTTTCTGACACCGCGTGCATCGTTCAACCTTGAATGATCGACGGCTTTTCGATCGCCAGATCGTTCCATACTGGCCGATTCTGGGCTGCTGGTGCCATTCAACCTGACGCCCGCGCTGGGGTCGCTATCGTGTTGATAAGACGCGAACCTAACTTGCGGCACGCGGGGCGTCTACACAACATGAGCAGAAGGAAGGCGGGTGCAGCGGGAGGGAACGGATGGCCTTGCTTGTGGCGATGTGCTTCAGCCGCACCTCGGCGCGAGGTAGAGGTCCGTACGCACCGACTGCCCACAAAAGGGTGTTTGAGGAGGTTTCAAGAAGATTTGGGTGTGGAAGTCTGAGGAAGACGAGGTTCGACGCGGTTCGAGGACCCAAAAACATTCATGCGTTGGGCCCCTCGTGTTGGGTGGTTAAACGTCCGAGACTCAGACAGCTAGCGAATTCTCGCGGTTTTCGGCGCTGCAGCCCCGTCAAAAGATCAATTCATGGTAAACAATTGGCTCAGAGACAGGATCGACAGCGTCGGGGAGGAACAAGCAAACAAAGAAGGCAAGTGAGACGAACAGCTTGACGTCCTTTCGTCCAGAGCGACCCCCCGCCCGCCCCATGCACGCACACAAAAGTCACACACCTGCACTCGACACACACACACAACTCTCTGGTGGCACCCGATAGCCTCGTGAGTAGCGGCCCGGATCTCAATGGGCAATGGGGAAGAACGCAACGGCACATGCGACACGCAATCGTACATACTTACATCTTCATAGCCATCGCCCCCAAGGCTGGGTACGGTAGGTTCGTGCGGGGTCGGCGCGCGCAAAGGTTTTTGACACCGCGTCGATCGTTCAACCTTGAATTGATCACGGCCTTGATCGTTCAAAATTCAATTCAATCTTGTCCAATGGCGTTACCGTGTTCGTCGCTGCTTCCGCGTCGCAGAATTCAACCTTACACGCCTTCGCCGGCGTCGCTGGCGCGCCAACGCCGCGCGAACCAACCGTACGCAGTCAGAAGGGGCAGCATGAATAAGAACTGAAGGGAGTGGCACACGTCTGCACGCCCAGTGCAGGGGTGAACGTGCCGCCCAGCGCGGGCCTGCTCCAGAGGGCGTCGCCTGCTCCCGGAGGCTGGCGCGGGGGCAGCGTGTCGGCCTCGGCCCCGTGCGCGAGTCGGCGGGCACTGCTCCCAACCAGGGCCGCCCAGGGCATGGAAACAGCAAGCCGCCAGCGAAATACCTCCCGGGGTATTCCAGGATCTCCCAGGCACTGGGATGGGGTCAGGTCGGGCATGTCCACCTACAGGCCGATTTTGGACGAAAATGAAGAATAGTCAGAAAATATGGAAAGGTGGACAAAACAAAATAATCAAAACATCGCCCCTAGAATATTTGTTTCAACGGTTTTCGAATATTCATCCTGTAGAGGGACATGCCCGACTCATGGGCAGGGCCTCTGGGGCGACACCCGGACCGTGCCACGCTTCGCCGAGGGCCCGGGGCGACGATGGATGAAGAACAGGGGTGGGCACGGGCAGAGGGCTGCTGCAGCGGGGGCTCGCGCCGTGTGCTCGCGTGCGGAGTGCACGCGCGCACATCCCTCGACCTGCATCCTAGGGCTCCCAACTTCGCGCTTCGCGCTGCGCGAAGCGCGAATAACTTCGCGCTCTCGCGCCGCCCTCCCAAAGGGAGAATAGGAGGACGAGGAGGAGGGGGAGAAGGAACGAGGACCGCGAAGCGCGAATAACTTCGCGCCCTCGAGGGAGCCCTTGTGCATCTTGGGCACCTTCCCGCGCGGTGGACGCCGCGCAGCGGAGCCGCAGGCGCCGAGGCCACAGAGGCAGAACCAGGTGGCGCCCGCCGCGCGGAGGGCCCAGACGGTGGACGCCGTGGACTTGTCGTGCGCGCACGCCTGTGAGCGCGCATCACGCTCCCAGACATGCTCGCGTCGTAAGAAATAACGATGGCTAGTTTTTCCCTATTTTTGGCCCCTGGGGGCCCTCGCAGAGCCCCGGGAGCGACAAACAACGACTCAGGATGACAGACCGGCCCCGGGGAAAGGGTCGGGACTTCTGGGGACGCCGCACTGAAAAAATCAGGACGACGCACGTCTGGGTTAGCATGGGGGAAATGGGTCCTGAGGGAAACGGGTCCTGGACCCTGGGGCCTCCCCCAGGACGAGCTGACCGGCCCGGGGCCCGTGGAGGGCCCCACAAGGGCCCGAAAACGGTACTAAAACCTCAGGACCCGTTTCCCTGAGGAACCAATTCCCCTATGGCGAGCACCCTTAATTGAGCAGGGACCGACCGCCCCAGCATTCCTGTAGGCCTACCACGACATGTTCTTAGAGCACGAGCATGTTAAAATAACGAAATCAATGCTCTCAGGACATGAACCCTAGAACATGAACCCGACGTGTGTAAACAAACTAGTCTCAGCCAGAAGCGTTTTCTAAGAACATCTCGCGCAGACCACAAAAGGCTCTTAGAACTTTCTTTGGTGGGCTTATAGGGAAGCCAAGGCGCTTCACCACTGCTGTCTGGAGGTAGGGAAGGGGTATGGTATAAAGGGATGTGGTGTTAATGTTATGTAAAGGGGACTCTGGCGATGTTATTCATCGCAGATAGCATCGCCATTTCCACGATTGGCACCATACCCCTTTATGCCACACACCTTCCCAGACATGCGACGTCCTGTTTTTTTTTAGTGCGGAGTCCCTGGAAGTCCCGACCCTGGTTTTTCGTCATGAGTCGTTTTTTGACGGTCCCGAGGCCCAGCGAGGGCCCCCTCAGGCCGAAAATAGACCCAAACTTTCCGTCCTGATTTTTATTACGGCGCGAGCATGTCTGGGTTTCCGACTTCCAGATGCTTCACTGACGGCGCCCCCAGCTGGCCCCCGGCGCGCCCACTGCGCGTTCCGCGTGCCGTAGAGGCCCGGCTGGTCTTCGGCCACCTGCACGATGCCCTGGGCTCGCGCCACCCGCTCCCGTCATGTCGCTTCTCGCTCTCGCTCGCTCGTTGGCTCTGAGCTTTCTTGTTGTTGTTTTGTTGTCCATTTTTTCGCCCACAGGGACTTCTAGATGGCCCGCTGAGTTCCCAAGGCCACGGTCGCCGACAGAGCCACCATCCCTGCGGCTCCTTCGTCCGAACCGAAGGCCGTGCGACGGGACACGCATCGTTGGCTCCAGGCTGACAGGGGGGCCGTTCGCCATGGGATCGCAGGGAGAAATCGCAACAGCTCCTCCTGTGGCGAACGGCGCGCTGCAGCCACGTGCAGGCGCATCCCGCACGAAGGACTGCGCGCACTACGGTGGGGGCATTGGGCAAGGAACCACCAGAGAAGGAATCCAGGGCCTGGAGGCCAGTGGGGCTCCAATCGTGGACTGGCCATGGATGCCACCGCGGCTCTCATCAGATAAGGCATCCTCCAGGGTCTGAGGCCTCCTGGACACATTCCTCCTCCTCCTCCTCCTCCTCCTCCTCCTCCTCCTCCTCCTCCTCCTCCTCCTCCTCCACCGAACTGCACACATGTTTGAGACCCCCCCTGTTTGCAAAAAAAGACCCCTTAGTGGCCCGAGTCTCCGAGCGCGTCCGCCTGCCTGCCCCCCCCCTCTCCCCTTGAGTCGGGCAAGTGCCTCTACAGGAGGAATACCCAAAAATACACAGAAAAAACAAGAGACGCTCTTTTACTCACAACTTTCGAGTATGTTCAAAGACTTTTAGAATCTGTTTGATTTTACGCCCAATATCCGCCTGTAGAAGATCATGCCCGACCTAACCTTCCCTCTCTGGGGAAGCCGGAAGGCACTGATATACCGCCGTTCCCAGGGCCTCTCCCAGGGTGCGCCCTGACCAGAATTTCGAACCCAGACATGGTCACGTCGTGAGGAAATCAGGAATAGAGGTTCTGCGCTAATCTCGGCCCCTGGGATAGGGATAGGGGGCCACATGCGACCCCTGCCCCTACCCCCCACTATTTCTGAGGGGGAGGGCGGGGGGGGGCAATCGTGGGGGGGGGCGCGCGGGGGTCGCATGGGGCCCCCTATATGGGGACCCTCGCCGGACCCCGGGAGCGTCAGACAACGACTCAGGATGACAGACCGGCCCCGGCAGCAGGGCTGGAACTTCTGGGGGCGCCGCACGGACTAAAATTCAGGACGCCGCATGTCTGGGTTAGCACCTGGAGGTCGGAAACCCAGACATGCTCGCGTCGTAACAAAAACACAATCAGGCGAAACATGTTGGTCTATGTTCGGCCTGAGGGGGCCCTCGCTGGGCCCCGGGCCCGTCAAAAAACGACTCATGACGAAAAACCGGTCCCGGCGAAAGGGTCGGGACTTCCAGGGACGCCGCACTGAAACAAAAAATCAGGACGTCGCATGTCTGGGAATGGAATCTCGCGGTGGCGACGAGGGCCTCCAAAGGAAGCCCAAGAAGGCGAACACGGGGAAAGGGCAGCCGTGTGGACACCTTATCCTCTGAGCTCCCCCCGGCACCTTCTCCTTAGGTCGGACATGTCCCCCTACAGGCGGATCTTGGGCGAAAAACTGAAATGTGTATAAATAATACGAAATAGCCACACACTACAACAACCACCACCACCACCACCACCAACAACAACAACAACAACAACAATCATTTTACCCGAACGCTCAGTGTTCTCCCCAGTGCCAGGGTTTTCATGCGACGCCAGCCAATACCCCCACTTCGTGGGGGGGCAATGCAAGCTCTACCAAACATCCACACGACTCTCGGGAACCACCCACACCCAGCTTCCCGCCCTATGACGTCAGGACACTTCACTTCGTGGCGCGCGGACGATCGTGGATACTACACTGGCGTGGAGTACACACCCGCAGAGGTTGATCACTTGTTTGGGCCCCGCATGTGCCCCGCATCGTGCATTCGTTGCGCATGACATAGAGAGAGCAAGACAGAGAGAGAGAGAGCAAGACAGAGAGACAGAGAGAGAGAGAGAGAGAGCAAGACAGAGAGCCAGAGGAGAGAGAGATAGAAAGAGATTCGTCACATGTGTGAGGCAACCTGAGAAGATGTGGTACACGGTACACGTGAGATGGTACGCACTGCCAAGATAGTTGGTCACATTTTTGGGGCAATTTCCTGGGAAGGCGATTACACAAGTAGATGTGTTCATATGATAGATATGAAGCAGAGAAAAAGCGAGAGACATAGAGAAGGAGAGAGAGGAGTCGGTCACATCTTTAGGGCAACTTCCTGAGGGATGTGGGAGGACACAAGAGAGAAGGTATCGTTGTCCCGATGGTTGTCTCGATGGTTGCCCCGATGGTTGTCCTGATGGTTATGGTTGTCCCGATCGTTTTCCCGATGCTTCTCCAAATGGTTGTCCCGATGGTTGTCCCGATGGTTGTCCCGATGGCTGTCCGTCTGCGATGCAATGTTGTCTGTTTATGCTGTTATACAGTCCCAAGGATGACGCATGCATTGCTCATACTTTCTCCTGCTTTCGCAAACAGGTCCACTCACACTATGAATATACTTTCTCCTACATAGCGGTATCGAGAGGAGGTCGGAGACCTCCTCTCGATACCGCTTGCCGCATGCCGCCTCTAGAGCCTCCACCGTCATCAGCGTCATACGAACCACATCTGTGGAGGAAGAAGCTGCCGTGGCCTGCTGCTTGGATACGGGCTCCTCCCAGTCGACCGCGGCAGGCCGTTTGGCCACGCGGGCAGATCCGGCGGCGGCTGGCCGTTTCAACACACCGCCTGCGACCTGTGCCGCCGGGCGCTTCAATACACGCTTGGTGACGGCCTGGGCGGATGAGGCCGCCGCCTGCACTGAAGAGCTCACCGACGCATACGCATCGCACCACTGTCTCAACACTCCTCGGGACACCAAGACAGCTTTCCGTCGCATACGCAACGCGGCATGCAAGGTGTGGTACTTCAGCCCTGGATATACCGCGCGCATGTGGTCACCAAGTGCCGCGTCGAGCTTTTCAGCCGTGTCATACTGCAAAGGTCCGGAGTCAGGGTGATACTTCACGTACCATTGCCTCAAAACCATACCGCTGACAGCGACGGGAGGGTCGCTCTCCGAGAGAATCTGCGAGAGGACCTCCGCGGCGGCCTCGTCGGCAAAGCTCTCCCGATACTGATTGAGTCGAAGACGCTGGCCTATGCATTCCTCCACAGCTTGGGCAGTATTCAATGCTCCCTTGGCGCCCCAGTCCGTGCTGAGCCACTTCTGACATACCCTGGCGTCAGCAGATAGAGATAAATGTCCCAGGAGCCACTGCTTCAAGACGGCCCCGTCAGTAGTCCCCTCGGGCATGTCTGTGCGAATACGTTCTCCATACCAGGTCTCCAGATGGCCAGCGTTCTGCACTTTGACAAGCGTCTCTTTGGAAGAATACTGCAGTAGCCACATCTTTGCGACCTGATCTGTCACATACAGTGGTGGATCCAACTGTCGGAGCGCCCCGCATAATTTGAAAGGTGTATTATACTCGATGCCCAGGTGGCGGATGGCAGAACCGTGCTGCTCCTCCAGCTCCTGGGCGCTAGAAATACTAACCTTGCCAGGCACAACCCGATACTTGCCCCACCAAGTCTTGCACGCCTGGTGACTGATCTGGATACCCTTTGCAACGAGCGCCTGATGCAAATAATACGGGCTCTCACAGTCGGCCAAGGGAGGCCGCGACAGCTCCGGGCCATACTGCTCGTCAAGGGCTTTCGCCGTCAAAGCCATGACCCAGCCAAGAACACAGGCGATACCTTGATCCGAGATGGCTACGGATGTGCCAGTGATCAGTCGGAGGCTTCCTGGGGCCGCTTGGGGTCCTCTTGGGGAAGGGGGGAAGCCTCCTGGAGCCGCTTGGGGTCCTCTTGAGGGGCTTTGGGGGGCTTCTTGGAAGCATGTTGGGGCCTCTTGGGGGCTTATTGGCTCCTCACGGCGGGCTCTTGGGGCCTCTTGAAGGCCTCCTGGGGCAACCTATGGCGCAACCAGTAGGGGGACGTTTTATTCTCAGCGGCCGAGGGCGCAACCTATGACGCAACCAATAGAGGAGCGTTTTATTCTCGGCGGCCGAGGGCGCAACATATGGCGCAACCGCAAGGGATTCTGGCCCCTGGCAGGCGCGCGAACCCCGTTGCAAGAGCGTGCGAAAGTAGCTCGCGCGAGCTCATGTAACATAAATGTTGGAAAACCATTGGTTTTTTTAGGATTCGGACAGCGCGCGCGGGTGGAAATTTTGAAAAGTCGTGCAGGTGTTTTTCGAGGACCTACGGTGCGATTCGTGTGATTTTATGATGCGCGGTGCTAAAATTCTTAAAACCCAATGATTTTTGGAGATTTCGGCGTGCGCGCGCGAAGAAAAAACGAATATGTCCCGCATGGTATTATTTGACAGGGATGATGGCCCTGGCAGGTGCGCAAACGTTGTCGCAGAAGTTCGAAAAAGTTGCTCGCAAAAGCCCGTTTGACAGAATTGTTTAAAAAGTGTTGGTTTTCCTACGAATCCGCAAGAGCGCGCGGAAGAACATTTTGACATTTTTTTCTTAAAAAACCATTGGGTTTTTGATGTTTTTATGTTAAAATCGCTACGAAACCTAAGGTTTTGGAAGGATTTCGTCTTGCGCGCACGAATGTCCACTTTACCTTATTTTTTGCAAGGGATTCTTGCAATTTGATCAAGTAAGAACAAGAATTTTCATTTTATAGTGTTTTTTGCAAGGGAAAACGGAGTACAACAAAACAACCGGATCCGGTAATAATTCACTTTTCTGAAGCTTTCGCTAAAAAATGATGAAAATGTAGCTGCGGCCTAGGTTTTGGAGGGGGGTCGCGCACCAGGGGTCCCAACAATAATTATTCTTTAGAAGTAATAATGTTCAACAAAAACACCACCAACAACACCAACAACAAAATATGACGTCCCCAGACTAGTTCTGCACTGTTTTCGAATATTCCTCCTGTAGAAGGACAGGCCCGACTTACAACCTTATCATCCTCTGAGCTCCCTCCCCCCCCTCCCCCGACGGCCCTTCGACGTGCCACGCTGCCACAACTGCGGGCCGAATTCCTCGGGGGGGGGGGGGGGGAGGGTTAAGTCCGGCACGTCCCCCTACAGGGGGATGCTGGGAGAAAATGCAAAAATACCCCCAAAATGCACTGAACATGCTCAAACGTAGTCAAAACATATTCCCCCGACTATTTTTTTAAAACTATTTTTGAATGTTCCCCCTGTTGAGGGTCGGGTCGGGCGAAAGGGGGGGATAGCCAAGGGGGGGGTTGAGAATCAGCTCACGTAGCTGATTTTCCCGGCGCCTCCCGGCGCCGGAGGCGGCCATGTATCGAGGAATGGGCCCCTCGGTGAGGCCGAAACCAGCTGCATGCAGCAAATTTCGTACCCCCCCCTTTCCCAATCCCCCCCTTTCGCCCGACCCGAGAGGGACAGGCCCGACTCAAAAGGGTAGGGGAGGGGAGGGGCGCCGTGCCTCCTGCTCCGCGGGCTCCGTCCGGCGGGCCCGCGGCGGGCGAGCGGAGCGAGCGCCGGGTGGCCGCGGCCGTGCCAGAAGCTCGGAGGATGGGGGGGAGCAGCAGAGGGGCCCTCCTCCTCCTCCTCCTCCTCCTCCTCCTCCTCCTCCTCCTCCCCCCTCCCCTCCCCCTCCTCCTCCTCCTCCTCCTCCTCCTCCTCCTCCTCCTCCTCCTGAGCAGCAGAGGGGGAGCTGGGAGGATGGGGGGGAGGGGCGCGGGGACAGACACACGAGCAGGCACAGGTCCCAGGATCCCCTAGCTTTTCCACCACTTTGCGGGCTGTCGTCTTCCCCCCCGCTGCAGTCGGGGCGCTGAAGAAGGAACCCTTGTCGTTGGGGAGGGGCTTGGTGTTCCTTGACCCCAGGATTCCCCATAGTTTGAAAATATACGGAATCCTGGGATCTGTATTTTGCAGTATTTGGTCTTCGGGAAAATATGGGATCCTGGGAATCCTGGGAATTGCGGGCCCCCCCACTGCCCATATTTTCCTTCCCAACCAGTTTCCTCGGAGTCGACGATTACATGTGTCTGTGTGCTTCTTCGCCCCCCTTGACCATGTGAGCCACAGTCGTGGCACTGTCAGAGGGGACGCTCAATAAGGAACAAAGCCCCTTGAAGGCGCCTGCAGAGCCTGGGCGCACGAGGAGGTCTAGAAGAACAACCACGGAATAACACAAGGAGCGGCGAGCCCCTTCCGATCCAAAAGCGGTCCTTACTTCAGCGTCTTGACTGTAGTAGGCACAGGGTGGGGGCTCGCGCATCCCATCAGCGAAGCTCTTCGGGTACCACGCCAGCTCACCACGGCTGCTGGTGCCTCAAGATAGCCTCCAGACAGCCCGAGATGGCCTCCAAGTGGCTGCAGGACGCCCAAAGCTGGCTTCCAGCCAGCCCAATATGGCCCGACGATGGCTCCGACACGGCCCCAAATCGCCTCCATGCGCCCCGAGATATCCTCGAGACGGTTCAAAATGGCCGGCAGACGGCAGAAGAAGCCAGGCATACGGCCCAAGAGGGCTCCAGAAGGCCCTCCAGGAGGGCCCCGAAGAGCATCAATCATCGATTATTTGAATGTTTGATTGGCTTGGGCTTGCCAGCATGCTACGTTTGCGGGCTGCCACCCCCTGGATCGAAAAACAATCCACCCCTGGCATGACACGGGGCGCGAAGCTTGTCTTTCAGAGCGTCTCGCACGAGAAGACACCGCGGCGTATGACGGGGCCACAGACGTGCTTTTCAGAAAGGCTCAGCCATGTCGACATTGTCATCATGAAATGGGACACGAGAGTTTGTTCATGAGGAGGTCCCATACGAAATCGGGTGGCCCAAGAAAGAATCCCGTCGCCCCGACCCGATCGTTCTGTTCGAGGAAGCCCTTGGCGGAATGCGACTCTCTGGTCAGTGCCCGATATGGGTCGTTGATGCACTGGGTGGTCGCAAGCTGGTTTCCAGTGTTCCGCCGTCGTCGCCGCCACCTTCGTCTGTCGCCAATCGACCCGCATCCGCTGGAAAAATCTGTCCGTGGGACGCCTCTGGGGGTCCATCCTGCCCAGCCTCTCGACCTGCGCCCAGCCGTGGCGCCCGGTCTTCAGACGCACCAAACAATCCCTGAACGAAGGTGTGTCGATGTGTCGACAGTCACCACCGATGCCGTCGCCGCCGCCGTCGTCATCGTCATCGTCATCGTCATCGTCATCGTCATCGTCATCGTCATCGTCATCGTCATCATCGTCCACGTCGTCGCTGTCGTCGTCGTCCTCGTCGCCTTTGCCGCCGCCGCCGCCACCGCCGCCGCCGTCGTCGTCGTCGTCGTCGGCGTCGGTGTCGGCGTCGGCGTCGGCGTCGTCGTCGTGGTCGCCGCCGCCGTCGTCGTCGCCGTCGCCGTCACCGTCGCCGTTCCAGTCGTCGTCGTCGTCGTCGTCGTCGTCGTCGTCGTCGTCGTCGCGTTGTCGTCGCCGCCGTCGTCGTCGTCGTCGCCATCGCCGTCGTCGTCGGCGTCGTTGTCGTCGTCGCCGTCGTCGCCGCCGTCGCCGTCGTCGCCAGGGCACGCCGCGGGCCTCGGACACCTTGGCCCACCTCGCGACGCGCGCGAGAGCGCGCGCGGGGCCGCGAGCCGCTGGCGGCCGGAGGCCCTTCCGGAGGCCTGCGGAGAGGCCCTGGGAGGCCGGAGGCCAGCGAGCACATCCTGAGGCCTCAGGCAGCCTATGTTTAGGTCGGGCATGCCGCCCTACAGGGGGATATCGGACGAAAAATTCAAGATACCCCACAAGTGCCCAAAAGATCCCCCAAAATACTCAAAAGATAGTCCCCAGACTATTTTTGCCTATTTCTGAATATTCCCCCTGTAGAGGGACAGGCCCGACTTAAGCCTATGGGGCGCGCGCAGAACATGTTTCCGGCATGCGAGAGGGAGAGCAGGCAAGATGCACCAGTTGAGCAAGGCTGGGGGGAAAGGGAGGGGAGCCACGCGGAAGGGGCGGGGAGGTGGCGCACGCGCGCTCCTCACGGGCGGGGCGCCCCGACTGGGCACTTGCCTCCCGCCTCGTGCGACCAGCCAGGACGGCACGTGCGACCAGAATCAGAGAGGGCAAGGAGGGGAGGGGAGGGGAGGGACGGAGTGGAGAGGGAAGACGAGGAGGATCAGGAGGAAGTGAAGGAGGAGGAGGAGGAGGAGCTTGCCGCGCAAAAGACCCTTGACCAAAGCCCTGATGGTGGCACTGCGGCTCCACGTCTCTGGCTCCACCTTGCCACGCCGGCTTTTTAAACATGATAGCAGCGCCTGCTGTCAGTTCTCACGGCGACCGCGCGCAGCGATAGCACCTGCAAAACTAGACGAATTTTGTTGTACACCCTGGTGCTGCAACGTCATAAGTATAATGACAGCGGCTGCTACCACTGCCCACTATATCCACTTGTTCAAACCACAGCGTTGCAGCTGATGACGTCGGACTCCACCTTCGCTTCCAGCATATCGCACAGCAGCGCCAGCGCCCCTTGCAACTGCTCGCCCCTCTCGCGCGCGCTGGTCCTAGCTGATTATTTTGTACCCGTGGCCTACTGGCCACGAGATCTGTCCGAGATAGCGCGATTGGGCCAAGGCAGACATGATGCCGAAAGGCTTTCGTGATGGCGTTGACACCGGACTTCGCCTCGGCTGCTGCTGCATACTGCTGCATTTTGCTGCTGCCTGCGGCATGGTGTTGCTGTTGCCTGCGTTTGCTGTGTGCCGCCGCTGCTTGCTGCAGACTACTTTTGTTCGCTGTCGCTGCGTGGGGATGTAGAGGGCTGCTAAATTCAGGTCGGGCATGTCCTCCTACAGGCGGGTTTTGGACGAAACAATCAAGAAGAGTCAAATCATCAAACCAAAACAATCCAAAATAGTAGAACATTCGTCCCCATAGTATTGTTTGACTATATTTGAATTTTCCTCCTGTCGAGGGACATGCCCGACTTCATGCTAATTGGTGCTTTTGCCATATGACGCAATCTGCAGCTAGTGAGCGGGCCGAGGAGCGAGGAACGAGGAGTCAAAGGCCGAGGGGGGGAGGAAGCGAGGGGCGATCGGCGAGGAGGAAGGAGCGAGAATAATGGGCAGCGGTCGAGGAGAGAGAGAGAGAGAGATATATATATATATATATATATATATAGAGAAACCAGTAACCAACGGGCCAGGGGAGAGGTAGGTGGTTCGAGGCGTAAGAAAAAAGGAGCCAGGAACGAGGAGAGCAAGGCGAGGAACGACGAGAGAACGGCGAGGAACGAGGTAGCGTGGAGCAAGGAACGAGAAGGGAGGCATGACAAGAGGCCAGTCACAAATGTCTCAACGGCTTCGGCGCGCGTGTGGTCGAGCATCTGGCCTCACCTTGGGTCACCCATAGGGATCTCTTGGGTGTCCAGCGCGGCCCCAGAGCAGTCTCTCTACCTCTCTCTCTCTCTCGCTTCTTTCTCTCTCTCTCTCTCTATTTCCCTGTTTTGTTTATATGCTTATTCCCCATATCCTAAGATGGGGTTATTGTTATTACCCGGCCGCCGCCGACTCCAAATATAACACACCTACTCATACACAGACTTACTCATACTCAGACCTAATCATACCCATACCTTCTCATGGTCTGACTTACTCAACACACAACATGAATGCCTACTCATACTCAGACTGACTCATGCTGGGACTCCTTCGTACCCAGACTTGCTCATACCCAGACTCGTTCCCAGACCTGCTCATACACAGACTTACTCATGCTCAGACCTACACATACTCAGAGCTTCTGATCGTCTAAACTACTCAACGCACGGACTGAGACCTACTCATAATCAGACCTAGTCAGACTCAGACTCGCAAGGGGAGCCGCCATGGGTGTTTTCGCCGGGATGTCTCAGGCGGCTTGCTCGTTGTCATGCCCAACATCCTTTGCTGGCAGAGTAGATTGTGAGAATGGTCTAGGCGGGGCGCTGGTTTCAACACCCCTAAGGGGAGCCGCCAACTGTGTTTTCACGGGCCCGTTCGCGGCCAATGTGTGGGGATGTCTCAGGCGGTTTGCCCGTCGTCATGCCCAACACCATTGGCTTGCAGAGCAGTTTTTGAAGATATCTTAAGCGGGGCGCTGGTTTCAACACCCCTAAAGAGAGCCGCCAAGGGTTTTTCACGGGCCCGTTCGCGGCCAGTTGGTGGGGATGTCTCAGGCGGCGTGCTCGTTTTCATGCCCAACACCCTTGGCTTTCAGAGCAGATGTTGGCGATGTCTCAGGCGGGGCGCTGGTTTCAGCACCCCTAAAAGGAGCCGCCAGGGGGTAGGACACGGGCCTGTTCGCGGCCAGATTGTGGGGATGTCTCATGCGGTTTGCTCGTTTTCGTGCCTAACAGCCTTGGCTTTCAGAACAGATTTTGAGGGGCGCTGGCTTCAGGACCCCTAAAGGGAGCCCCCAGGGGGTAAGACACGGGCCCGCTCGCGGCCATTTTGCGGGGATGCCTCAGGCGGTATGCTCGTCTTCATGCTGCGAGGAAAAGGTATGAGGCGCGCGTATCTCAATTGCTGGATGACGGCGCCGTTTACGAGACGATCGATAGCCATATCCAGGTGCTGGAAGGGCACAGTTCTTATTCCAGCGCTGATGGGAACGAAGGCGACGGCGTCGACGGGGCGCTGGGCGACACGGGGGACATCGCGGAGGGGGCCGACCAAAAGTCCGACATGGCACAGCTGGCAAATATGAGGTCACAGACGTAGTCATTCGCGTCGTGCCTCTGGCCCGTCGCCCCGATGCCAGGTGCGGGCGGCCAAAGCCGAGGCGCAAACCGCGAGGGTGCCATTTGTAGCACGTGCCTTTTGCACGTCATGTGCCTGCGGCTTCTGTTTGCGTTGCCAGCTAGGCCCGTTGCGAAGTGCGGACGGTTAAAGCTGAGGTGCAGGTCGCGAGGTGCCGTTGTAAGCACTTGTCAGTCGTACCCCCCCTGGTGCTTCGGACGCGGCGCCGAAGGAATTCGTTGCCGTGACCCAACAAATGCGCGGGCATATGCATCTTAATGAATGCATGCGCGCGGTGGATGTGCAGTCGCGCTGCGCGCACGTGTGTTCGTCGCTCACATGGACGCGCTCGTGGAGCAAACAACTAGCATGGACAAATGCTGGCCGTGGCACTATCCTGCAACATGGTATGCAAATATGGCCTTGTGCGGCTAAACGCTCGTTTTACATATCCCACGGCCAACTATCCTAAAACATATGCACACTACCACAGGCTGAGGAGGGCACGGCCTGACAGCTGAGGAGGGGGAATGAATGGGAGGCTCAAATTCAACCATACTCAAAGCTCACTCTGACTCATATTCACTCACTCGCATTCGGAGTCACTCGTCTTCGTCGGCTCTGTCGCCCATGTGGACGCGCTATTATAGTCAAGCGCTCATGAACAGACGCTCGCTATGGCATGACATAAAACATTAGATGTACAGATGGGGGCTCCACGCAGTGAGTAAGTTATGTATGTTTTATTTGCTTCTCTCTCTCTCTCACTTCTTGGAGGCTATTTCTGGGCATGTTGGGGGCCTCCTAGGCTTTCTGGGGGCCCTTTCGGAGCCTGATTCGGGCCTCTTGTGAGCCTGCTGGGGTTTCTGCGGGGCCTCTTGGGGGCTGCGGGGTCATCCTGTCAGTTGTGGGCCGTCTGGGGGCCCTCTTTGGGGCCTCCTGGGCTGTCTTGGGGCCATCGACGGTGCCTCTGGGGTCGTCTGGCAGCGCCGAGAATCCGACAAGGCGAAAACGCTGGAACCCTACAACTTGTTGGAGAAGGGAGAAGGGAGGAGGAGGAGGAGAAGGAGGAGGAGGAGGAGGAGGGGGAGGAAGAGGAGGGGGAGGAGGAGGAGGAACAACCAAAAAGAAAACCATGAAACCATGATAATGGCCTCCCGGGGCCCTTCTTGGGGGGCTCTTCCTGGAGCCCTCCTGGGACCCGTCCTGCGGCCCCGCAGGGCGTGGACCTCTTGGGCCGCCTGCAGGCGTCTCGGGCCATCCTGGACCGTCTCGTGGGGCCCATCTTGGGCCGTCTGGGACTGGGAGCCCCCAAGCCAGGGGGTGAGATACGGTGGGGGCAGGGGGATAGGAATTTATTTCTTTATGAGGCAGCATAGAGGATCACTTCGTGAAATATTCACCTGCTCGTGATAAGTACGTATACTACACTCGAGAGCTGACAGGTCACTAGTGCCTCGTTGTCACGCCGCAGAGCGTGATCCCACAATGGGTAGTATGCAGTCCCCCCGATGAGAACTGAGAACGGGGCTCCGAAACTCGAAAGCCAGGGTCTGGAAGCCAGTGGAACTCCAATCGAGGCTTGGCCATGGACATCACCGACGCCCTGGTTGGATCAGGAATCCTCTAGGGTCTGGCGCCTCCCGGGACTATTCCTTTAACAAACGCCTCCACCGTATCAGGTGGTGGCCGGGAATCCCCAATAAGTCACCCACGGGTTGTGGAACACGGGGTCGCCGCCGGGTCTGGTGACTGACTCCTGGGCCCACCGGCGTTCGGAGCATCCTCGGAAAACCACACGAGTCCCCAAATCTGGGTGGTGACACCAAATCGCCCGAGACTCATCGCCGGGTGTTGTCACCACCACGTTTGGGGGCTACCAATTGAAGCCCGCCGAGGGGAGTCTGGAGCGCGCCGAAGGCCAGCCGGGGCCAATTTTGAGCCTTCTGGAACACTTTCCTTCTGGCACGTGGTTCTCCCTGCGTTGTCGGGTAGGCTAGGGCTGACCCGTGGCCTACCGGCCACGAGACCTGTCCGAGAAGGCACGTGGGACCAGAGCAGAGATGCTGCCGAAAGACGTTCGTGATGACATGGAGCCCGCACTTCGACTCGGCTGTTGCTGCCTGCGGCTGCAGGGTGCTGCTGCGTGCGACATGCTGCCGCCGCTGCTTCCTTTTGCTGCGTGCTGCCACTGCTGGCTCTGGGCTGCTGCTGTTCGCTGTTGCTGGTTGAGGCTGCAGGGTGCTGCTTCTTGGTACCCTTGCCAGTGAGCGGGCCGAGGCGCGAGGAACGAGGAGTCAAGGTCGAGGGGGGGGAGGAAGCGAGGAGCGATCGGCGAGGAGCAAGTAGTGAAGAGGAAGAGCGGATGTCGAGGACAGAAAGAGAGAGAGAGAGAGAGAGAGAGAGAGAACAACAACAAAAGAAGAGAGATGAGGGATAGGGAGAGGCGGCGAAGGAGGGGGAGCCAGGCGCCAGTAGCCAGGCGGGAGAAGGGAGGGGCCAGGGGAGAGGCAGGGTGAGCGAGGCGTGAGAAAAGAGGAGCCAGGAACAAGGAGAGAGAGAGAGAGAGAGAGAGAGGCGAGGAGCGACGAGAGAACGGCGAGGAACGAGTAGGAAGGGGCGAGGAGGGAGGCACGAGACGGGGCCAGCACACGAATATCTCAATGGCCTCGGCGCGCGTGTGGCCAAACACTTGGTCTCCTCTTGGGTCGCCCATGGGGGCTGCTGTGTGCTGCCGCTGCGTGCTGCGGACTGCTGCTGTTCGCTGTTGCTGGTTGGGGGAGAAGGAGGAGGAGGAGGAGGAGGAGGAGGAGGAGGAGGAGGAGGAGAGAGAGAGAGAGAGAGAGAGAGAGAAAAAAAAAAAAAAGACAAACAAACAGAGAGAGAGAGAGATACACATACATACATATAGAGAGAGAAGCGAAGGGATAAGGAAGAGCCGAAGTAGGAGGGGGGAGGCAGACACAACTAAGTAGCCAACAGGGAGAAGGGAGGGGCTAGGGGAGAGGCAGGGTGAGCGAGGAAGAGTCAGAAGAGGGAGCCAGCAGCGAGGAGAAAGAGTCGAGGAACGGCAAGAAAGCGGCGAGGAGCGAGGAGCGTGGAGCAAAGAGCGAGAAGGAAAGCACGAGAAGAGGCCAGCACACGAATGTCTCAATGGCCTCGGCGCGCGTGCGGCCGAACATCTGGTCTCCTCTAGGGTCGCTCATTGGACTCGCCTGGGTAGCCAGCGCGGACCCAGAGCTCTCTGAGGGACCTTCCCTCGGAAGCTTCCCGGATGTGTTTTTTTTGGTCTTGGGGCCCCTCGGGGCCGTCGTGGGGCCTCATTGGGCTTGATTTGGACCTCTTGGGGGCCTCCTGGTGTTTCCGGGGGTCTCTTGGGAGCGTGCTGGCGGTTTCGGGGGTCATCTTGAAGCGGAAGGTGCGAGATGCAAGTTCCAGTTCCCCTCTTGGGGCCTTCTTGGGGCCCTTTTGGGGTACTCGTGGGGGCCTCTTGGGGCACTCTTGGGGGTCTCTTGGGGGCCTCTTGGGCCGTCTTGGGGCTCTCTTGGGCTGTCTTAGGGCCCTCTTAGACCGTCTGGGGGCCCTCTTGGGGGCCTGTTTGGCTGCCTTGGGGCGATATTGAGGGCCTCTTGGGCCTTGACACATGGAAGGCCCGAAAAGGCGAGAACACCGAAATCGAACAAACACCATTGGGAAATCAATGATCTGCCACCGTGCCTGCACGGAGTGGGCGCGTTAGAACGCGTTGTGTTGTCTGGTGGGAAGTTCTGCACAGTTTTTAAAGCCCCCCCCCCTCGCAGCATGCGCCACACAAAAATCCCCTTTTGAAATTGCTTGCTGGCGAATTTTTCTCCTCCAGACGACAAAGATGGCCTCCAAGACGGCTTCCAAGACAACCATAACGACAACAAACCGGCTCGAGACAGCTCAAGAGCCTCTCAAGAGAGCCTCAAGACGGCTCAAGATAGCCCAAGAGGGCCTCAAGACGACCCAAGAAGCTTCCAAGACGGCCCGAGAGAGCTCCGAGAGCCCTTCATGGAATGCCCGATGGGGGTCAACACCATTGATGTTTCCTACGCGTTTGAAGGGATGTGATGTTCTCGCTTGGTCGGGTTTCTGACTACTCACGGCGGCCCAAGAAGCTTACAAGATGCCTCCAAGACAGCCCAAGAGCCCCTCTGCACCGCGAGCACAAGGCACGGTTGTGCCCAAGCAGTCCTAAATAGTGCCAAGTCGCCGTTTCTGGGACGTCAGCCATAACTGCTGAGATGTTGGGAACTTATCAAACAAATGTGCGCGGCGCTGAAGCGAACACCGCAATTTGAAAACGATCCGCCATCCATCGAGCAAACTCCTGAAAACGTGTACACCCTGCGAAATGCTTAAGAAATCATGGGTTAAGAAATTCATGGTCTCAGAACTTGAATAAGAACCCAAAAATTCTATCATAATCTTAAGATTTACATTGAAACGTTAAGAATAATCGAGACTCTGGCCGAAAATTTAAGTTTTCTTGAGCATCGCCTAAGGTGTATGACGAATGCGTGCGGCGCAAAAGCAAGGACCACAGTTTTAAAACGGCCCGCCAACAATCAGCGAAACTGCTGCAACATCTCAAGGGGACTGCGCGCGGCGCTTTGGCGAGAACCACATGCTGAAAAGCAGCCGCCCTCCATGCGGTGAACCCTTGCAGCGGTGAGATTCGAATGTGGATGGCGTTAAGGCGAGGACCACATTTTGAAGAGGCGCCGCCCTGCATCCGTGGAGCTCTGGCAACCTTTTCAACCGGACGTGCGCGGCGTTTGGGCGAGAGGCAACCTTGGAAGGAAGCCGCAGTCCGTCCGTGAAGCTCTTGCAAACTTGTAGAGCGGACGTGCGCGGCGCCGAGGCGAGAGACACGCTTTGAACAGGTGTCACCGTCCAGTCGTGAAATTCTTGCAGGTTGTATGGCGAATGTGCCCGCCCTCCATGCGCGAACCTCTTGCACATCCTGAGCTTCATAATCGCAGATGGGACCGGAGCCTCAAGCGAAACGCCCACCCCGCCCGACCGACACGTCTCGAGATGTGACAGGGAGGAGACGTTCAAGAGAAAAGAGATGATGATGATGATGATGATGATGATGATGATGATGATGATGATGATGATGATGATGATGATGATGATGATGATGATGATGATGATGATGATGATGATGATGATGATGAGGAGGAGGAAGAGGAGGAAGAGGAGGAAGGAGGAGCTGTTCATGAGAAAAAGGGTGAAGATGAGAAGGAGGAGGAGGAGGAGGAGGAGGACGAGCAGGAGGGGGAGGAGGGAGGGGCCTCGAGAGGGTGGGCGAGGGGAGCGGTGGCGGGCGCCCCGCCTCGACCCCGCTGCCACAGTAGGCGCTGTTTTCTCGCACGCGCGCAGCTGGGTAGCATAGCGGAACGCATGGCGTTGGGCTCCGGCTTCGCTTCCCCCCTCTCGCTGGACAGCTGTCGACATCGGGGTCCAGCCTCGCAGTCAACATCTCGCTGACCAGCGGGGCAGGGCCAGCTTTCAATGCCAGCCTCGGTCACGCGTGCTGATCCTGCCGATGTAGCAAGCCAGGGCAAACCCAGGTTAGGGTTTCCCAAACTGCTTCCTGCGCGATCAAATGCCGCTGCCAAGTTCAAAATACGGATGTCCGTTCGGGTAATTACAATGGTTGCCCAGCTGGGTACCACACGCTGAGTGCTTCGCAAGATACTCGGAAATGCGAAAGACCGATCCCAAGGCAGCCTGGGAATCCTGCAGAGTTGCAAGACGACCTCTCATACGTTGTGACACCCAGGTTGTAACTTTTTTTGTTCAGCTCCAAATCCATCTCCCACATCTCGCCGAGCAGCGCCAACGCCTGCCGCCACTGGCCGCACCTCTCACACGAGAAGATCTCAGCGACGTAGCTAATGACAGTGGGCTCCAACTTCGCATCACGCATCTCGATCAGCAGCGCCAGCGACCGCTGCCACTGCTTGCCTTTTTCGCACGCGCTGATCCCAGCGTTGTAGCTGACTAGGGCTGACCCGCGGCCTTCCAGCCGCGGAGTCTGTCCGCCATGGCGTGGACGTGGAAATGGAGCGTCTCGGGCGCCTCGCTGGGGGGGAGGTTGGAGGGGACGGTGTGGATGGAGGAAATGGCCGCTGAAGGGGGAGGTGGGCGAGGGATGCAGGCAAGCAGGCCTGAAGGCAGGAACGCATGTAGGCACAACGTGGTGTGGACAGGAGCTGTTTCTCACGCCGAGCTCTGTGTTCATCATAGCTTTTGCGGGGCGGGTCGCCGTGATAATTTGATCTGCTCTTAGCTGGGGCCTCGTGATATACGACCCAAGAGGCCCGCAAGAGGGCGCCGAGACGGCCCGCACTGAGGCCGCTCAGGCGCCCGGTGCACAGGAGGATCACCGATAGGACGCTGGAGAAACTGTCAAGTAACTGTCACTTTGGTTTACCTGGGCTGCGCGTTAGGAGTCTTCTCGGCGTGTCTGGACACTCTTGGGGCCTTCTTCGGGGCATGCTCGGGACATCTCTGTGGCTCCTAGTATCGGCTTTTGGGCCCTTTTGGCCGCCCTCCTCGTCCTCCCCTGGATCGGTCATCCAGTCGATCTTCTTTAGGAGCCATCTCGTTGTGTTTGGACCGTCTTGGGGCCTCATTCGGCGTTGGGGACCATTTTGGGTGTCCTTTTCCTCCTCCCCTCGATCCTTCATCCCGTCGATCTTCTCGTCAGTCATCGACGCTCCCCAAGAGACAAGCATTCAAAGCCTCATGGGGTCCGTTTGGAAGTCTCTTTTCGTCCTCATGGGGGTCTCTCGGGCCCTCTTGGGTGCATCTTGGGCCGCCTTGGAGCGATCTGGGGCAGTCTTGGGCGCCTCTGGGGCCATCTTGTGGCCGTCTTGGGGCCGGCTTGGGCCGTTATTGATCGCTCCTGGGGCTGTCTTGGTTGCCTCTGGGGCCGTCTAGGGCGTCTCTGGAGCCGTCGCGGGGCCGCCTCGGGCCGTTTGGGGGCCCTCCGTGGGTGCTCTGGAGGCGTCTTGGGGTCATCGGGAAGGCCTGTAAGCCGTCTTGGACGCGGTGAAGACGAAAAGAGCGAGCATATCAAACATATACGTTTTCCCCAAAAAATGGGGCAATGTTTGCCTCTTGGGTCCCTCCTGGGGGTCCTCCTGGGCCGTCTTGGGAGCCTCCTGGCCTGCCTTGGAGGCCTCTGGGGCCGACCTGGGGCTCGATTGGGTCCCTCTTGGTATGTCCGGGCGCCCTCGTGGGCGTCTCTGAGCCGTCTCGGAGCGGCCCTGTGTGGGCGTATGGGGGCCCAGGGCTCGGAATGTCAGGGATTTTCCTTGTTCTTTGGCCCCTCTGGGGCCTGGCTTGGGGTCCTCCGGGGCCGTTTTGGGCGCCTCTTGGGCCATCTTGGGGCTCCCTGGGCCGTCTGGGGACGCGCTTGGAGGCTTGTTGGGCCGTCCTGGGGCGGTCTTGTGGGTCTCTTCGGCCGTCTTGGAGTGTCGGCTAGCCGAGCTCCAAAAACAATTGAAACATTAAGGATTTTGGGCTCTGTGGGCATGCTTCGAAAGACTGTTGGAGGCTCTTGGAAGCCTCTTGGGCCTTGTTGGGGGCCTCTAGGGGGCCTCTTGGGCGCTCCTTCGGGCCTCTTATGGTCACTTCGGCGCGTCTTTGGGCGGAGGGCTCGGTTTGTGACGCTCGGGGGCCAGGATCTTCGTGAGGGGTGTCGAAAAATGGCCCTCCAGGGGGCGCATTTATCCACATGCCTGTGTTGCCCCTCTGGCATGGGGCCGTTTTGGGCGCCTCTTGGGCCATCTTGGGGCTCCCTGGGCCGTCTGGGGACGCGCTTGGAGGCTTGTTGGGCCGTCCTGGGGCGGTCTTGTGGGTCTATTCGGCCGTATTGGAGCGTCGGCTAGCCGAGAAGGCGAGAAGGCACCATTCCTTCAAAAACCACTAACGAATTCAAGATTTGGCCTCTGGGGGCATGCTTCGGAGGACTGTTGGAGGCTCTTGGAGGCCTCTTGGGCCTTGTTGGGGGCCTCTAGGGGGCCTCTTGGACACTCCGTGGAGCCTCTTGTGGGGCCACTTGAGGGCCGTCTTGCGGCCTCGTGGGGCTTGCTTTGGGCTTCGTTGGGGCCTCTGGGGACCTCTTGGCGTTCCTTTGGGGGGGGTCTTGGGGCCTTGTGTGGGCGTATGGGAGCCCAGGGCTCGGAGTGTCAGGGCTTTTTCCCGTGCTTTGGCCCCCTCTTGGGCCTGGCTTGGGGTCCTCTGGGGCTGGCTTGGGCGCCTCTTGGGCCATCTTGGGGCTCCCTGGGCCGTCTGGGGACGCGCTTGGAGGCCTGTTGGGCCGTCCTGGGGCGGTCTTGTGGGTCTCTTCGGCCGTCTTGGAGCGTCGGCTAGCCGAGAAGGCGAGAAGGCACCATTCCTTCAAAAACCACTAACGAATTCAAGATTTGGCCTCTGGGGGCATGCTTCGGAGGACTGTTGGAGGCTCTTGGAGGCCTCTTGGGCCTTGTTGGGGGCCTCTAGGGGGCCTCTTGGACGCTCCGTGGAGCCTCTTGTGGGGCCACTTGAGGGCCGTCTTGCGGCCTCGTGGGGCTTGCTTTGGGCTTCGTTGGGGCCTCTGGGGACCTCTTGGCGTTCCTTTGGGGGGGTCTTGGGGCCTTGTGTGGGCGTATGGGAGCCCAGGGCTCGGAATGTCAGGGCTTTTTCCCGTGCTTTGGCCCCCTCTTGGGCCTGGCTTGGGGTCCTCTGGGGTTGGCTTGGGCGCCTCTTGGGCCATGTTGGGGCTCCCTGGGCCGTCTGGGGACGCGTTTGGAGGCCTGGTGTGCCGTCCTGGGGCGGTCTTGTGGGAGTCTTCGGCCGTCTTGGAGCGTCGGCAAGCCGAGAAGGCGAGAAGGCAAAACTGTTCCAAAAACAATTGGAACATTAAGGATTTTGGGCTCTGTGGGCATGCTTCGGAAGACTGTTGGAGGCTCTTGGAGGCCCCTTGGGCCTTGTTGGGAGCCTCTAGGGGGCCTCTTGGGCGCTCCTTCGGGCCTCTTATGGTCACTTCGGCGCGTCTTTTGGCGGAGGGCTCTGTTTGTGACGCTCGGGGGCCAGGATCTTCGTGAGGGGTGTCGAAAAATGGCCCTCCAGGGGGCGCATTTATCCACATGCCTGTGTTGCCCCTCTGGCATGGGGCCGTTTTGGGCGCCTCTTGGGCCATCTTGGGGCTCCCTGGGCCGTCTGGGGACGCGCTTGGAGGCCTGTTGGGCCGTCCTGGGGCGGTCTTGTGGGTCTCTTCGGCCGTCTTGGAGCGTCGGCTAGCCGAGAAGGCGAGAAGGCACCATTCCTTCAAAAACCACTAACGAATTCAAGATTTGGCCTCTGGGGGCATGCTTCGGAGGACTGTTGGAGGCTCTTGGAGGCCTCTTGGGCCTTGTTGGGGGCCTCTAGGGTGCCTCTTGGACGCTCCGTGGAGCCTCTTGTGGGGCCACTTGAGGGCCGTCTTGCGGCCTCGTGGGGCTTGCTTTGGGCTTCGTTGGGGCCTCTGGGGACCTCTTGGCGTTCCTTTGGGGGGGTCTTGGGGCCTTGTGTGGGCGTATGGGAGCCCAGGGCTCGGAATGTCAGGGCTTTTTCCCGTGCTTTGGCCCCCTCTTGGGCCTGGCTTGGGGTCCTCTGGGGTTGGCTTGGGCGCCTCTTGGGCCATGTTGGGGCTCCCTGGGCCGTCTGGGGACGCGTTTGGAGGCCTGGTGTGCCGTCCTGGGGCGGTCTTGTGGGAGTCTTCGGCCGTCTTGGAGCGTCGGCAAGCCGAGAAGGCGAGAAGGCAAAACTGTTCCAAAAACAATTGGAACATTAAGGATTTTGGGCTCTGTGGGCATGCTTCGGAAGACTGTTGGAGGCTCTTGGAGGCCCCTTGGGCCTTGTTGGGAGCCTCTAGGGGGCCTCTTGGGCGCTCCTTCGGGCCTCTTATGGTCACTTCGGCGCGTCTTTTGGCGGAGGGCTCTGTTTGTGACGCTCGGGGGCCAGGATCTTCGTGAGGGGTGTCGAAAAATGGCCCTCCAGGGGGCGCATTTATCCACATGCCTGTGTTGCCCCTCTGGCATGGGGCCGTTTTGGGCGCCTCTTGGGCCATCTTGGGGCTCCCTGGGCCGTCTGGGGACGCGCTTGGAGGCCTGTTGGGCCGTCCTGGGGCGGTCTTGTGGGTCTCTTCGGCCGTCTTGGAGCGTCGGCTAGCCGAGAAGGCGAGAAGGCACAATCCCACCAGCCCTCTGGGCGTCGGTGGTCTAGAGCGTTTCTTCTTCCACCCCTCCTTCTTCCCCTTCGGGGAGGGGTTTACCCCTCCCCCCACCCCCTCCCCACTGACCTGGACAGGGGGGGCCGCGACGCGTTGGAGCGTCCAAGATGAGCCAAGACGACTCCAAGAGGGCCTCAGGGAGCCCAAGATCGCCTCCAAGATGGTTCAAGATAGCGCAAGATGCCTCAAGATGGTTCCGAAGATGCTCCAAGACGCTCCAAGACCGCCCCAAGACGGCTCTAAGTGTCCACTAGAGCTCCCCTCGGATGCCCCCAAGAAGCCAAAATGTTTCAAAACCCTAGGGAAAATCAATGTTTTTGGCGTTCTCGCGCTTTCGCTTCCGATGCCCACCCGAGGCGTCAAGATAGCTCCAAGATGGCTCAAGATAGCTCCAAGAAGGGCCCAAGAAAGCCCGAAGACGGCGCAAAGAGCGCCCAAGAGCGCTCCAAGAGCCCTCCAAGAGCGGTTCAGGAAGCGATTTTAGAGGCTTTCCAGGAGCGACGCTAATTAGTGCTTCCGCTTTCTTTGACAGAGGCCCCCAGGATGCCCCAAGAGGCCGCAGGATGGCCCCAAGATGGCCCCAAGAGGCCCCCCAAGAGGCCCCAGGAGGCCCCCAAGAGACCCCCAAGAGGCCCCAAGAGACCCCCCAGAGGCACCCAAGGGGCAAAGATGGCTCCAAGAAGCGCCCAGGAGGCCCCCAAAGGCCCCAAGATGGCCCCAAGAGGCCCCAAGAGGCCC